GCTCATGTGCCCGCAGAGAGGGCTCCACCTGTGGCACACATGCTATAGGTTCGCTACCACAGTCTTAGCTGTGACAATGTAACAAGGGTTAACCGGAGAGGCAGTTTCTGTAAGCAGGGCAATAAAGATTAGGCTAGAAACAACACCAGAATGTTTCCTGCCTGCCTTCCTTACAGGATTAGCCCTGTAAAGTGGAAAAAAAAGAAAATGAGATTTCTTTGAATACCGGGTTCTCCGAACTGCTTAGAAAGTTAAAAATTCTCCCGAATAGGTGCGAACTGGCTGAATCTCACCACTGGTTGTGAGGAATATTGGGACCTGAAACTGGAAGAAGTTAGGTTAAGTGGCAAAGAAGAAAGCTGTAGGGTGTAATGGGAAAAACAGTGAGCAAGTTCTCACCTCAAGGAAATGGCAGTGCTAATAAGCCACTGTGACTGGCAGTATCCAGACCTAGCCTGAGGATCAGGCAAAATAGTACTGCTCCCTGAACTCCAATTATGAAACAGTAAAAAGTATAGTTCCACAAAATGCTTTTCAGCTATCATATCTGTAGTGCAATCATTGAAGACAGAACCAACAACATATAGCTATTCTCTTTTTTGGTTTAAATCAACATTCTGCATAGCTCTCTGAAGAATGTCCCAGTGCTATGTTTTAAGCACAAGTCTGGTGCTCTTTCAAAAAAATGTTAAACCACTTTTAATAAGAAATCTGAGTCATTCCCATGAAAGTGCATTTCTCATGTAACTGCCTCAGACCTGACAAATGCTTCGGAAAGCAAGTACTACTGTATGTGAGCAGATACTGCTGCAAAAGCCAGATGTCTGAACTTTCCAGCAACCCAAATCAGGGGCACAGAGGACATCCTCCTCATGGATTTGAGAACAGAGGCATCTCCAGTCTGAATTGGCCAATGGGAGTTGGGCAGATTTAACCCTGACCTTGTCAGTGAACTCTCCTAAATTGTGTCTGTGGGAAAATTTGTTGGGGGAAAGGAAGTTTAAAACTACCTTAACATTAGAATAACTAAGAACAGCTTTTAGCTCCTTCAGTTGTAAATTGGAGAGAAGGAGAAGGTAATACTGAACCACAAATAGGGGGACATGAGGATGATCAATGTGACATACTCTTTTTGATCATTAATGATTTTGAAAATTATTTAGATGTCTGGTAAATTCAGTTTAATCAGTTTACTAATGAAACCAATATTTTTATACATAAAAACATATCCAAACTTTCTAATACATTTTGTTCATCTTTGAAAATACATTTCAGTTATCCAAGCTCTTCAGTTTAATTTTCTCTAATAAGCTCATATTGATTTTTAAGACCTTCCCATCTATAATACATATTTCATCTTCCTACTACTATCACTCACGCCCTCGTGACCTCAAGACTGGACTACTGCAATGCGCTCTACATGGGGCAGCCCTTGAAGAGTATTCGGAGACTTCAACTCGTCCAGAACGCAGCCGCACGAGCGATTGTGGGTGCACCTCGGTACACCCATGTTACACCTATCCTCCGCGAGCTGCACTGGTTTCCGATCAGTCTCCAGATA